TAGACTGCAGGATTAATGTTGGTTTTGGTTCAGTTTATTCTCAACTCTGTGACTGGTGGCCAGCATCAAAGTAGTCCTGGTCCTTCCTGACTGGTGTCTGAAGGTCTACAGGTTCTTGTCTTCTGGGAGAGGAGTTCTGACATTCAATCCTTGACAGGAGTTTATCAGTTAGCTCCATGGATGTGGCTATGTTAACCCCTAGATTGCTGTGGTGGTTCCAGTTTTGAATCCACTTTCTGCCATGACAAGATTCACACAGCTGAGTGCTCTAGACCAAAGGAACAAAGCAGATTCTGTATCTATCTGATTCTAGCTGGAGAGGAGCACTGGACTCATGCTACCGACGGCTTACTAGCACTCTAGAAATACAAATGCCGTGCTTCAACCTGACCAGTCAGTAACTCCACCATGTTCTATGGCTGGTGAGGCTGGTAGAGAGAACAAATTCTTTGTCAATGCACAAAGCCTTGGGATAGAAACACAGCACTGTGCCTACACAATGTAGGTGGTCCTCATCAGGCTCTACCTCCAAGAGCAGGGGTTCTCAATCTGTGGGCCTTGACCCTTTTGGGGGGTTGAACAACCCTTTCACAGGGGTGGCCTAAGACCATCAGAAAACACGCACAATTACATTACAATTCATAACAGTAGCAAGCTTTCACTTGATATAGCAACAAAAATAATTTTAGGGTTTGGGGGGTCAGCACACCATGAGGAGCTTATTAAAGGGTAGCAGTGTTAGGAAGGTTGAGGAGCACAGGCCTACAGCTAAGGAGTACCTATGAAGTAGCGTGTTCTCCACTCTCTCAAGTACTTGTCTGGTGTCTGACCTTTAAACGTGCAAAGCCCTCTTAGGAACACCTGCCATAGAGCTTATGAACTTGGTTTGTGTGGGTCCTCTTAGCAGGCAGTGGCAAACATTTTATCAGAAATCTAGATAAGAGATACATCCTCTCTGGGCCTGATGTTTGTAGAGCGAAGAGTGTCAGAACATGAAAATGAGCTGCCATGCTTGTGTTCCTACACATCTTCTTCATAAAGCAAGTCCACGAACCATAACTTGTAGACACTAGACACGTGACAATACTCCTGTAGGCTGCTCTTGAGGAATATCCTTGTTATACTTGAGTAGAGTCGAAACAGCCGACGGGGGTAAGCAGGGGAAAGAACGTCAGCGACTCTAACTGGGCATTCCTGCCCGGGGGAATCAGAGACCTCCGATTCTTTCTGGGATTTATCTCATTTCTCTGTGTGAAGCACCTTGATTCCCTGCTCTGCCTTTTAAAACTCTGTGTAAGGACTGCTTCCTCTTTGAGGCTCTTACTGCATTAGACCCAAGACAGATTGGCTCTCTTAACTATGTGTTACCTTTAAGTTCCATGAGAGTGTGCCACAATCACAGCACCGTGGCTGGCTCGTGGTAAGTGTCCATTTATGACCTGATGTTTTGTACTTGTTCAGATGTGCAATTCTCCTTGGTCGTGGCACTCTAGTGAGTGAGCAATTCTTTATGGCCATGGCATTTAGCTTGTTACAGCTACCCTGGAGGTCTGACATCTCTGCCTTGTAATAATACAGGAACCCAAGGCCTCCACTTTCAATGGACTCTGAATTTCAGTCCACTGAGTCCTAAGTCCCATTACGAATGTGTAGAGCTTTAATCTTTCATGGGTCAGGCAGTTAGAAACCATAGAACGGACAACCTCGAGAAGCCAAGCGTGAAGACAGAACACTCTCGAAGTCTATGGCCACTGGCCCTGCTTACACATGACAAGGTGATCCAACAGGACCGCAGAAATGCTTACATACTCCAGGGTCCTGTCAGCTACACACGGTCTCTGGAAACAGTCCCAAGAAGGGCCAAGTGCCGGTGGAGCTGGCTGTGGGAAAGCAGGAAGTTGGAGACATCAGTCAGACCTCAGGGCATTTCCACCTCCCTATGGTCAGCCCAGGCAGCCTGCATTTTGAGGAGAATGTAGAAACGAGACATTCTAGTGTGCCAGCTGACTCCAGAGAGGCAAAGGAGAACCTGTGCACGTCTTGTTATAATTCGTGGCCTGGCAGCTTCACAGCCATGACAGCTCATCTTGTTCCCTAACCCACTGGGTGTTCATTTGACGACTGGAACGCTGGCCTCAACATAAAATACTACAGTAAGTGCACCAGCCAACGCGAGGAATCACGGGAGTTTGGCTTTTAGCTTTGCGAGAAATGTCTGGTATGGCCTGTGCACGTGGAGAAAAACATCAGCCCAGCCTTCTGTCCTGGCAAGTCACGGAAGATGGAGTGGAGTCTGTGAGGCCTGACACTTGAATGGGTACAGCTAAGGACAGGGACGGCAGCAGGAACAGCAGAGGAGCTGTTTTCTGTTTTGTTTTGTCAAGATTTTAGCAAGCAAATATTTTAATTGTGTGAGCACTGCAGAAATACAAAGTGCTGACCAGGTTCATGGATGAAGTTCTTACAAAGACTTAGCGGTTTCGAGACCATCAAGTTAGAATTGGTTGTCGTGATTGTCTTATTAAACAGTTTCGAGTTACTTTTAAGTAAGCATACAAAATAATGAGCTTCATGCTGAACTTGTTCCTCTTATTAGGTCCTGAGGACACCCACTGACCACCTTTTCCTCTGTGCTAATGGGGCTAATGTCTTTACAAAGTCAACAAACAGAACCAGAGCTGAGCTCGTGCGTAGCCGTGCTCTCCTGGTGATTTAAGTAACCTTCTGTTTTTCACTCCACAGCTTGCTTCTCCTTAGGTTTTGGAAATTACCTTTTATAGGAGTGTTTGTATTTCTTAGATAAGTGATCTATTAAATCATCATTTCAATTAGAAAGAAGCAGACTCATGTTGGATGGAGATGATGCGATTGCAAAGGACAATGTGAATATGCAAGTGTATTTTTAGCCAATAAATTGGGAAAACTGAAGGACAAACAGGAAGTTTCTGGCTTGGAAATTACTTTATTCTTCTAAAAATATTTCATTTTTTACCAAACTCTTTATTACAATGAAGTGGATGCAATATATTCAAAACTTTGTCCCAATACTGACAAACAACTCATTTTCAGGGCTTCTGTTTTGGTGGCTATTAAATGAAGGGACCATTTTCTGGAGGAAATAGTTTCAAATGGCGAGGATGGATAAAGCGTTGTGTTTCCTACAGTCCTGCGTGTCATCTTTTTGCTCTGGTACATAATTTGGTGGAATCTAATTGTACATTAAGGCCAAGTTCTTCCGAATGGCATTTAAGCATCTTCCTACTGTGGTTTCAAATTGCCTTTCTATCTCATTTCCCTTGTGGCTGCTTCCTGGGATCTTGGTTCTTTCTCGGTGTTGCTAAAATTTCTTCTCTTCGGGAGATTTAAACAATGTCTATTCCTCCCACAAAGGTCCAAAGGACAAAATGAGGCATGAATCTACCCAAACTGATTCTGGGGTAGTCTGTGAGTTTATTAGGCTTCCTGACAGAGCAATGGAGTTTGCAGACAGGAGCACGCACAGCCTTAAAGCCACCACCCTGGAAAGTGCACATCCAACAGGAATGGCACCCCCTCCTTTCTGTAGATTGTACCCCTCCCCAGTCCTTCACAGTGTATAAGCTTCTAGCTCTCCCTCGAGGTCATGTGCAACTAGGGCAGAAGAGCTTGCCTCTAACCGGGAGGAGTGGCTGGACACTCAGGTGACGGTCAAGGTAATCAGCCCAGCCGTGGGGGTCTGCCACAAGTACACACAGGTATGCCATCAGGAAGATGGTGGCAGTTGGCTCTGAGACCAGTCCTAATTAGCACTCCTCCAGTAAACATTCTTCACGTGGGCTTCCTGTTCCCCATTACCCTGGGATGCTGCACCCAGTTAAAAAAATAACACCCCCCCCCCCAAAGAAAAAGCTAAGGCCCTCTCAACCTTCAAAAGTTAAATCAAGGGACTCCTCTTTGGACATCATTTGTCTAGCTTTAGCAGAATGAATTTCCCTCTTTGCCCCGTGCTCACCAACAGTAGGGCCTTTAGCTAACAGACCATTCTTTGTTTCCTATTGCTTTTCTTTCTTATCTCCAATGTTACGATACTGATGTGGGAACAGGTCTGGCCTCTCAGACACAGCGAGGCCCGCAACTGTGTGAGAAGCAGAAAGATGCTCTTGGCCGAGACTCATCTGCACGGTTTGTTCCCAGCACTGTCCAGGACAACGCCAGCATCAATTTCAAAGGCTGACAAAGCGTCCTGACTGGGGGATAGGGAGGAGAGGGCAAGCCATCGATGGCGGCCAAGCCTCTGAAGGAAAGCAGACTCTAAACCCCACATGCAAGACAAAATAGCCTTGATTTGTCCACTATTTAGTGGAAAGTCTAAAGTCACATTTAAACGTGTTATTTTGCTGAAAACTTGAAGCAAGACACATGAGGAGTTAGTAGCTGAACTGGTCCTTGAGGCATAAGAAGAATCTGAAAAATGCGTTAGGCAAGGGGGCTCTCGGATAGCATGACACTTGAAGGTTCTCGAGCTCTGGAAAGCCAGGGAAGAGAAAAACACACTGAAATATTATTAATTGTCTGGGAAATTAGGGCACAGAAAAGACAGTTCAGTTGTAGCACAGCATGGCGCGGATACTGATAAATTGCCACTAGGTGACGCTGTTTCCTCATCTGTGAATCCCTGCCGTCCACAGTCCACAGCTGGGTTCAGAGCTGGTTAATATCGATGCCAGGATTCCGGCTTCGCCCAGCCCCAGCTGGAGCAAGGGCCAGGATAAGGGACGTCCTAGTTTCACTTGCATTCCTCCTTTGTAAAATAAAGAAGCCTGGTATTGGCGATTCTGAAAAACTTCTCCAATTACTTTTTTTTTTTTTTTGATAACTTTAAAATGATAAGGTTGGCTTATTGGCTTACTGCCTTTTTGTGTAAGCAGACTCTTGCACACAAGCGCTGCTCTTCAGCCAAAGGTCAGTCAGATAATTAGACAGAAAACACGCGGGCGAGAATCAAGTGAACAAGGGCGCACCTGTGCGCGTTGGTTCTCTTCCTGGGCCTCCCACACGGTTCCGACACTACGACCTGATTTGTGCACTCAGCGGATGCAGAGCTACACGGAATCTTAGAGGCGTACAGAGGGCTCATCTTATGTCTCCGCAAACGCCTCTCCAGGGGGAAAGGCTGCTGTGCTGTCACCATGCTTTTTCTTTTTCTTTCTTTTTTTTTTTTTTTTCAGCTTTGTAGTTCTAGAACTTTCTTCTTGGCCCTGGGTCAGCCGGAACCTGGGCTTCCCTGTGTGAATCTCACACAGGAGTTTAATGTAATCGCTGAATGACGTGGACACCTAGATGCTGGAGTGAACCATGGTTCCTGGCTTCACCTTTAGCAGGGATCCAAAGGGAGTGCTTTGCTGCCAACGTTTTCAGTCATGCGGTTATCATGCCGAGAGTGCCTGGGCCAATCACCTTGCTTGGCTCTTCTTAGCGCTGCTCTTTAGGGGAGCCCAGATCTTTCCAGCGCAGAGACAGGCCGTTTTCCCCTTGGAGGGCGTTTGTCTGCTGTTTCTAAGCAGTTGTAAACAAAATAGCGCACCCTTAGCCTACCATGAAAATACCACTCAGTAGGAGGGGAGACCTGGGGACAGTTAAGGAGAATTGGCAACGTGAGTATGGGGTGGGGCAGAGCGACAAAGTCTGAAGATACGAATATTTAAGTCTACCACCTACAAACGTCGCATGTCTTTTTCCATTTGAGTGATGTTGGGTTTCAGCTCTCTCCTTCGTCTAACGTAATGGCAGCAGCTTTATTTTTAGTAAATGTTGAAGTTCCAGTTCTTTAAGAAGAAAGACAAAAGTAACAACAGTCTTCAAATGCCCCAACGCCTGCTTCTCTCCTCTCTGCCGATGGCCCAGTATCATTTCTCACCAGCTCAGTTCAGCTCCAGTGTTCACAGCTAACAAGGTTTCATTACTGTGGAAAGGGAATTTGGCCTTTGCTTCCAAACATAGAGTTGAGCTTGATACAGCCTCAGCAGGAGACAGATTTCCCTTTTTTCATCTCTGTGTTCCCTGGTGTGTAATCTTGTCTTTTGAAATAGTTGCAATCAGAACAAATTACCTAAGGAGTGGGGAATGGAAAGCTCTCACAGCCGTTGTGGGTATTTTTTTTTTTTTTTTTTTTTTTTTTAGTTTTCTTTAACAATTGGCACCTTCCCTCAGTAATTGAAAATGGTCCAGGAAATCTGTATGTCCCTGGCAACACTTCTCCTAAGTGAGCTAGGCTTTCAAGGTGACAGCAATTGTTTCAGCTGGTATGGGGGGGAGGGGAGGGAGATGCTCAGGAAAAAGAGAACCCCATCTCCTGGCCTGGTTCCCTTCCTTCAAGGTGGGCCACGTTTGTTTGTTTGTTTGTTTGTTTGTTTGTTTTTAACAATTGGCTGCTGGGGCTGGGGAGAAAGAACCATGGCTTTATGTTTAGTCTACACCCAAACCTCATAAGCCTCCAGTCAGGTTGGATATGAGTGCTAGTCAGTGGGGTGGCTGTATAGCTATGTTTCCCTAAAATGAGCCTCCGAACTAGGAAGTTCAGTGTCTATGGTTCTACCCTGGGTGTGTCAAGGCCCACGATGTTGGACTTCCAGCACAAACGATAAAGATGGAAACCCTCTGAGTCTGTCCTCAACTCTTCCTTGGTTCCTCAGTCCCACGAGGACCCACATTAGTGTCAGGAAGACCTCATTATGCGTCTCATCAGACCCTTCTGCCTCAGAAGCACTGGAAAATCTGGAACCAGAAAGACGGTGTCCTGGCTAGTTTGTTTTGTTTTGTTTGTTTGTTTGCCTTTTTTTTGTCACCTTGACACAAACTAGAGTTATCTGGGAAGAGGAACCTCCATTGAGAAGCCACCTCCATCGGGTTGCCTGCAGGCAAGGCTGAAGGACATTTTCTGGATGAAGAGTAGATTGTGGAGGGCTCAGCCTACTGTGTGGAGGGCCACTCTGGACAGCTGGTCCTACGTTGTGTAAGGAGGCTGGGCAAGCCATGGGGAGCAAGCACGCAAGCAGCACCCTCCATGGCCTCTGCTTCGGTTCCTGGGACAGGTTCCTGACCTGCTTGAGTTCCTGCCTTGACCCCCTTCAGTGATGGGCTGTGATCAGGTCATGTGAGTCAAACCCTTTCCTCCCCAAGTTGTTTTTTTCTCATGGTCTTTATCACAGCAACAGAAAACGTGCTAAGGCAGATGCAGAGGCTGTCTGATTTCACTAGTCTTCAGTGGGTGTGGGACCGCTGGGAAAGGAGCTTGAAGGATCAGTGTAGGAGTTCATGATGCCCTTGGGAAATGCTTAGAGGAAACACCTGCCACTTCAGGTGCCATTTCTCCTCTTTGTACTTGAGCTAGAGATGCGTGGAAATAAAGGCAGTAAGGTTATTTTCCTGGACTGAGTGATAACTCATTCAGAATGCCAAGGGAAGCATATAGAGCTGGGTGTCACGGGGAGGTTTACTAACCTGTTCACTAACAAGAAGTCAGGTGGAGAAGACCTCACACTGACCAAGCTCCATCCTTCTGTGTAGAAGACTCCTTCCCTCTCTGTAGGGCTTTGTGTGAGCATCAGTTTATAAGGCCTTGAACAGAACATATTACCATTACTTGGATGGAAAATGAGCAGATATTAGAAGGAATTCTGAGCCTGGTGTTAACCAAGACTAGTGAACTGACAGCATGGGCTTGTCTGCAGAGCTTAAGGAGAGTTCAAGGCACAAGAAAGACCCAGGTGTTTGGAGTGGAGGGGATTTAAACACACACACACACACACACACACACACACACACACACACACACACCCTGGGTAGTGTCCTAGTTAGAATTAACTGCCAACTTGACAGCCTACAATTACCTGAAAAAAGAAATCTCAGTTGAGTAATTGTCCTTATCATGTTGGTGTGGGTGTGTCTGTAAGGGATTATGTTGATTGCTAATTGATGTAGGAGGGGCCATCCCTCTTTGGGCCATCTCATTCCCCCCCCCCCCCACAGGCTTTTCTGGGCTATGTAGGAAAGCTAGCTAGTGGGGTCCCAGCACTGAGAGGGGGAAGTGGATCTGGGGTCTCACCCCTCGCCAAGAAGCAGTTTGCAGTTGATGCCTGCTGGCAAAAGGAAACTCAATTTTCTCCAGTTGAGTGTCACTGGGTACATCAACCACACTCCAGGGTTGGCGCATGCCTGGTGGTAGTTGGTCAATGCAAAACAAACTCTGTACGCTTTACTGGTGGACTTTTTGGACTTTCTTTCTTTCTTTCTTTCTTTCTTTCTTTCTTTCTTTCTTTCTTTCTTTCTTTCTTTTTTGTCTTATTGGTCCTTTGCTTTTTTGTTTTGATTTTCATTTTTGAGGGATTTTTGGTTTGGTTTGGTTTTTTTTGAAAGAGAACGTAAAGTTGGGTGGGTAGGAGATATGGAGGGTCTGGGAGGAGTAAGGGGACAAAAGCATGATCAAAATATACTGCCTGAAAAAATGCTTAATTTCAAAAGGAAGGAAAGTTAGATAAACGTGTGTCCAAGAGCAGGCCAGCAGATACCATCCCCTTGTGGCTTACACTTCACGGTCTTGCCTGAGCTCATGTCCTGACTTCCTCAGGGACGGGCAGTAACCTGTAAAATGAAACAAAACTTTTACTGCCCTGTGCTGCTTTTGGGTGGTGTGTTTTTTTATCAGAGCAACATGAAGCAAACTAGAGCAGACAACAGTTTAGGAAAACGAACTGGCGTGCTGTAGCGTGTAATGCCGGGAGAACGCCGAGTAAAGTGGACTCAACAGCCCCGGGTTGGGATGGGCTTAAGTAGAGAGCAGTGCAGGTCAGTTTTACAGGTGTCAGGGTGAGAGACACTTGGGGCTATGAGGGTGGAGGACTGAGGGGGCACTCTCGGCCTTCCAGCAACTGAGATGCTGGGCATGTGGCCGCCTAGCACGGTCTTTGGGGGGCAGTGCAGTGCTCAGTGTTCAGCCGTTAGTGGCTGTGGACTCTGGGGTCAGAGTTCAGTAACCAGTTTTTATCAGGTTTTCTCCTCCTCCTCCTCCTTCTCTTTCTCCTTCTCCTCCTTCTCCTCCTCCTTGCCCTTTTCCTCCTCCTCTTTTTGACTTTCTCCTTATGCTGCTTTGATGTTTGAGGCTTTAAGCACTCTTCTTGTCTTCCTTTAGTCAAGTCTATTTTCAAAATGTTTGACCAAAAGCTACTGAAAGACCAGGATAATAGCAAGAGTTGAGGGTAATTTCTGTTTAAAAAGGAGATGAAATATAAAAATTACTAGACTGTTCTTTAAATATAGAACAGCAGCATCACCTCCATCTACTCAAACAAAGCATCATAAGAAGTGTAATTGTAGACCGTAACAGCTGCAGCTGAACAGCATCTCACGTGGACTCCCGAGGCAGCCCATGTGAAAAGGGAGGCGGTGAGTCACGAGCCCAGAAGTATTGGCTTCTGAAGAATATGTCAATTTCTAAAACTGATCGTGAGTAGAGGCGTGTCACAGTCAGCTCGAGATGTTTGCTGTTTGTGGATCTGCTACTGCAGAGTAGGAACGTTTTGTAGCTGTGATGACGAAGGTGGTGAGAAATCTGCCATTTGCAGTGGCATAGCCCATACTGCTCTGTGGAGGCGGAGCTGCCTGGGTGACGCTGGTGGATGTGGCGAGGGCCACATCTCTGCAAGGGCACCTGTGCAGAGCCCCTATGTGGGCTTGGACAGTTTTGTCCTTAAGAGTCCTCAGAACACAGAATAGTGACAGACTATCCCTTGTTGCCAGGTCGGGGGGGGGGGGGGAAAGGCATGCAGCATTGGATAGTGTTGCTTTTGTTAAAGTTGTCCTTTTCTTATAAAAATTAGGAGTCTTGTGAGAAAACAACTAAGTAGCCGTACATATAATAGTGTAGTCACCGGGAGCCTCTAAGAGCTGCGGAAGATGGGCGGGTGATGCGAGAAGGTGTGGCCAAGCATTCTTAGCTAGCGTGGGTGGCAGCAGCGTCCTCGAGAATGCACGAACTGATGTCTAAAGGGCGGGAAAATGAGAGGATACTGAGTTCAGGGAGAACCACACCACTTTGGAAGTCCTGTGAGTCCAACATAGCTAGAGGATAAACGGCAGGAGACAAGTGAGCGGGGAGGTCAAAGAACAGCTTCAAACTGAACCTGCAGGGCTACATATCCAGTGGAAAGAATGTGTTCTTTAAGAGCAATTGGAAAGTCCATTAAGGGCTCTTAAAAGGAGGATCGCATGACCCAGTTTCTGCTTCTAAGGTAATCACCTTGACTGGAAAATGGGCTGGAGTAGGGGAGCCGTGGGAGGATGTGGGGCTAGACTATTCTGCGGCCGCCTCTTGGCCATGGGTTAGGAACGGGGAGGTGAGCTTAAGAATTATCTGACCCACTTTAAGACCACGATTTGAGGATGGCTTGTAAGAGGAACGCATGTTGGGGGCAGCAGAGTCCATTCAGTGTGGGGGGCTTGGGGGAGCTGAACAAGGAGATGCCATCTGATCTAGAGACTGAACAATGAGAAATTAAGGGTTATTCTAAGAAGGAGTAGCAAGAGTAAATTCCAAAGTAAGTCAGAATGCTTCAAGGAATGACAAGCAATCTTCTTGTCTGCATCTTTCTGCCAAGTCATACTACTGCTACCTTTCAAGACCTTGACATGGACCGTTCTTGAGTCATGCAAGGGCCAGGAACTTATCAAGGGCTTCAGATTCCTATAATGTCTCCACCGCCTATGTGATCTCAGGTGCCCAAACAAAATCCTAGGAACCATCATTATCATTGCTTCCAGGCCCTCAGCACACCTCCTGACCACTAAAGCTTATCTTAAAGATCCAAACACCTCAAAACTAAGTTTTCTCCAAATCTATGTATTCTGTCTTCCGCTCAAGCAGCTGCCACAAGCTGTTGCTGCTCACACACCCATTTACTCTGGTCTTATTTAGGATGACTAAAGTCTGGGAACTCTCAGCGTAGTTGTTCCAGTGACAAAACAGAATCAGCAGAGCGGATTTCGAATGCTTCTTCACTGCACCTCCCCGCAGCCCACATCTGAATCCCTAGCCTTTGCTGCTTACACGGCACCTCCCTCCCCACAACCCACATCCGATCCTCCAGCCTCCGTCTGGATCTCCCACTGCCCCTGTTGAGGTGGCCCATCCCCCATCCAGAGCTCCTTCACCTGTTCCCCTTGGCCTTTCCCTTCCAAAGGAGACCCTGGAGAGACTATTTCTTCTCTCTCGTTAATGCTCCTCTCTGCTGAACTCCTGCAATCTCCACGAAGTATGTGTCTGTCTTAACAGAAGAGGGTCACTGCCTACACCCCTGCCCCGTTACCCTTTCCCCTAGGCGGCAGAAACATCACCAAGGACAGATCTTGGGGAAACAAAGATGTGAAGGCAGGAAGAGGGCTGGGCTTGCGGGAGGAGGAAAGGGGACAACAGGAAAGGGTAACCAGGGAGGTGAACTAGATCAAAGAACATACGATATGTATGTAAATGAAGAGGTTATAATAAGAGGGCTGGAGGGGTGTCACAGCAGGTCAGAATATGTTCTTTTCTTGCGGAGGGCTTGGGTTTAGTTCCACCAATGTTCTCACTCAGGGTGGTTGAGCCCACTACAACATTTCCCCAAAACATCACTTTCCCGCCCTGCTTCTTCACTCTGCCCATGTCACTGGCTGAGGAGAGCTTCCCGAGTGCTCCGCTTAGGTTAGTAATCTCCGTCTGTGACATTCCTCATTTCCTCTCTACATCCTACTGTTCTTCATGGTGCTCATGGACATCCAATACACAATACTGTTAGTACCCTGGAAGCATGAGCCCCGTGTTTCTGTCAGGGAACGTATCTCATGCTTGTTACATGCTCCTTTAACAGTCTGTTGCCAGATGGTGGCTGGTTTTCCTTGGCCTGGGATTCGGGCACCCACATGCTTCCAGTTTGAGGCTCAGTCTTCAGGAATGAAGAGTCCATTGTACTGAGGGGACCCAGGGGAAGAATGATAAAGGGGCACACCAGGTTCTTAAAGTGCTCGTCAGAAGCTACACACGTGTCAGTTATGTTCATGTCACGTTGCTGAGGGCTGTTCAGATGGACTCTGCCCAGGAAGAGGGAGGGTGCTCCCAGCAACAGGTCCACGCAGGAACTGTGGCACGCCGAAGATTGCCCCTGCCAAACACTCCACTCGTGACAGTGCCTTTCACCTGGAGGAAGGCACCCTGGAGACATGCCCACACCTGCCGCCTTCTAGCTTGTAAAGCACAGAACAAATGATATACGGGAATTACTTGTCTATATTTTTCTTTTCAACGAGTCCTTATTTTAGAGGAGAGGGGCTTCTTGCTGGGTGTGGGGGTTGCTTTCCTGTGGCTTTGTAGCTAAGCAATGATGAATCAGTCGGGATGTAACTGTTTGACCTAACTGCCCTCATATGCAAACGGCCCGTGTTCCTCCGTGGGAAGCTTTCACTTTGTTCAGTGGTCTGGATGTTAAATCTGTGGCGTAATTCCAAATTGTTCCTGTGGATTTTTTCTTCTTCTACCTGTTCTCTTAACCTCTGTTCAGTTGAATTATTGTAGCTCAAGAAAGCATAGAGTGTACAGTTCTAGCACTCCGGGTTGAAGTAGTGTGATGGATGTGACTTCGGACTTGAAGCCAAGTTCCAAGGCTGTTATACAACCTTCTGAATTGTGTGGCTTTCTGTAGTAGATAGTGCATGTTGAGTGCCTTTAAGACAACAAAATAAGAGAAAATACATATGGATCTTTGGTGGATTAAGTGACCAAATATTACAACATTTGAAAATGTTACAACATTGGTTCAGCAGTAGTCACGTTGATGTAATCTATTTACACTTTTAGATGTTTCTAGTGTTTATATCTTTGCTTTGTAAAAGTCAAAGATATAACCCCCAAATAGGTTATATAATGTGAATGATTATATATGCACAAAATGGTGGTTTTATAAAATCTTTTTGTTAAAAATCGTAGAGAAGGAATATTATTTGAGGATAGATAAGCCCAAAGTACTCACCAACCAAGACTGTGGATGTGACGCTGAAGGACATTACTGAGAAATGTCTAAGGGAGAATATGGCAAATGTCCCAGAAAACCCTCAGGCTCTGATTCTGAAATTTTTAATTGAACAACCACAGTGTTTATGAAATAGTTTGTATCTTGAGGTTAAGTTTGGAGAACATCTTCTTTGACTTGGGCCATGTAACTGACATTTGGCCATATAACTGAGATATGGCTGCTTCTATATTTCAGAATAGACATCAGGAGAAAGAGGGAAAGTCCACAATCTCAGAAGCCCAGAAATGCCAGACATGACGCTGGAAGTATGCAGGAAGATATCATGGTTGTTGCTTATATATTTTAGATGACTTCATTAAACATACATTTCTAGTATATAGTAAGGATTAAATATTAGGAAGAAAAAGATTGATGGCAATATATGGCATTTTCCCCTTAGGTTCCTTCCTTTCTTTCTTTCTTCTTTCCATCCTTCATTCCATCCTTCCTTTCTCTTGGTATTTTTCCTCAGAGCTTCAAACGCTAGCCTGAACTGACTGAGTTAGTTGTCTGAGTCAATTGATTACAGAGACATCTGCAATCCTCAGGGCTGTAACTGCCCCAGTTGCTTTGGTGATGGGGGATTTCTTTATGTTTTTCTCCTTTGCTCCAAATGGCAACTATAATCTGACCATCCACGCGCTTCCTTTCTGTTTTAGCTTTCTAAGCGTATTGCGATAAACCATACACCATGCAGCTTAAACAACAGAAATTTAGTATCTCATAATTTTGAGAGGACAGATTGTGGAAAAGATCTGTATCACAACTGATCCCTAGTTCCTGGTAGTTTGTGGTTATCTTCGTAGTTCTGACTTATAGGACTGTCTTCCACTCTGGGCTGATTTCCACGTGGAGTTCTTGCTGTGTGTCCATATCAGAATTTCCTTCTCTTTTAACTGAACCCATCATGATTGGTTACGGGTATGCTCTACATCCATAAGAGCTTATATTTCAATCTGCAAAAATTGATTTCCATGACCACATTCTAAGATATAGGTGGGAAAAGGATCAGTATATTGATTCTCTAGTTTTAAAAATATTTAATAGTCATATGTGCATATATTTAATATGTATTTAATAGTATTTAATAGTCATATGTGCATATAATATATTTGGACCAAATTCATCCTCCATTGTCTCTCCCCCAATTTCTCCCCATTCTCCTACATTATTTCTGATTTCATTATCTATCTATCTATCTATCTATCTATCTATCTATCTATCTATCTAT